GTATGCATAATTATAATTGTTTGTTAAAATAATATATTATTAAAATTCAAATAACTTGACCCAGGGTAAAGCTCTTTGGTATATAGAACATAGTATGGTTGTATTATTTTTATTCTTATGGTTTTGAAGTTTATATGTTCATGCAATGTGTTTGATCACACTCGTTTCTTTACCTAATTCCTCCTGGTCCATACCCCTGCTCAACTTCTTGTTGTTTTTAAAAACGTTTCTATTTTAAACAACATAGGCATCTAAGTAATCTAAGCCTCCTGGAGAAGTCTCCTGTGGGGAAGCCTTTGCTCACAGCAGCAGACGCTAATGTTTGCAGCCTGGGAACTCCCATGAGTCTTGTGGCTGTTTCCTGTGCTCCACTTGCTCTGTTAACAGTTACAGAAAAATACAGTAATGAAAGTCACCTTGAAGGACTGTTTTTATGTCTGTTTCATGACATTGCTTATCAGATGCTTTGCTATTATTCCCATTACGCAGGTGGGAAACTGAAGCTCAGAACATAACTGTTGTAAGTTGAACACCATGTCTAATTATACAACTAGAACCCCAAAGGAACTTCTTAATGGCAGAGTCAGATAGTAAGGAAGATCTTCCTGATTCAAACAGCATTGCAGTACATTTTATTTTATAAAAACAAGTCCTTGTGCTGCCAGACAGCTTGTGTTGTTGAGGCAAACCATAGGAAAAACCAGGACAGATGTACTGAATACAGGATAATAACCACACATTGTGGCTAGGATATTCCTTGGCAAGGAAGAATGTTGGAGGTTAAAATGGTTAGGGAAAACTTAAAGTAAAATTTAAACTTCACTTAGAAAATGACTAAACTGCGGGCAGAGAGGGATTGGTGCTCACAGAGGGGAGAGGTCAGAACACCAGAGAGGGATGGTGCTCACAGAGGGAGAGGTCAGAACACCAGAGAGGGATGGTGCTCACAGAGGGGAGGGGTCAGAACACCAGAGCGGGATGGTGCTCACAGAGGGAGAGGTCAGAACACCAGAGAGGGATGTGCTCACAGAGGGGAGAGGTCAGAACACCAGAGAGGGATGTGCTCACAGAGGGGAGAGGTCAGAACACCAGAGAGGGATGTGCTCACAGAGGGGAGAGGTCAGAACACCAGAGAGGGATGTGCTCACAGAGGGAGAGGTCAGAACACCAGAGAGGGATGGTGCTCACAGAGGGAGAGGTCAGAACACCAGAGAGGGATGGTGCTCACAGAGGGAGAGGTCAGAACACCAGAGAGGGATGGTGCTCACAGAGGGAGAGGTCAGAACACCAGAGAGGGATTGGTGCTCACAGAGGGGAGAGGGTCAGAACACCAGAGAGCTGCATGTGAGATAATTGGCGAAGAAGTGCAGACTCGGAGGGCACCTTGTTCCAACAGTTCAGAGAAAACTCGAAAGACAGGGTAGGCCAGCAGGAATGCTGTGTACATAAAGGTGTTTGTTCCCCAGAACTCACATGTTCACATGTTGGAAGGAAAGAACCAACTTCCAGAGTTGTCCTACGACCTCTGCCAGTGTGCATGCACACAAATACATGTTTTAAAAAGTTTAAAGACAGATCAGAGGATCTTATGTGCCAAAGTGGAGACTGTAGGATGTTTTGTCTCATGAGACCTGTGCTAAATCTTTATCACATGCCAGGTGTTGATCTAAGTGCTGTGTGTGTGAGATTAAAGATAAGTGCAATGTCCAGAGAAGAAAAGTGACTGAACCAAGTTCATACCAGGAGAAATACAAGAGGCAGGATTTGAATCCAGACAAGTAAAATGCCCTCTCCTGTTCCTGATTACACCATCCTGATCTGGTTGTAGTGGCCTTGGTAAGATGAACAGGTTTCGAGCCCAGAGTGAACCTTCAACATGTAATGTGCCTCTCACATGGTTGGTTTCCAGTTTTCTTTAAGAAAAGATGGTGATTAAACAACAATACCCATTCCCTGGCTGTAGGCACTGGAGAACTATTGGGCACTTATGCTTAAGTTTTTCTTACTGGGACTTACACTTTGTCTTTGTAGGCATACAGTTTTAAGAGTAAAATCAATTTGAATATTGGTCTGTAGCTCAGTGATAGAGCACTTATCTGCCACCCACAAAGCCCTTGGTTCAGTCTACAGCACCACTACAAACTCGATACATACTGGGAAAGTCGTCCATGCAGTTAGATAGAGCCATAGAGAAGGCTGCCTCTTCAGCCCCTTGCTTGGTTTAAACATAAACACCCAATTTTACTGACTGATCCAAATGTGGTACACAATTGTTTTCTTCTAAAATCCTTTGAGTAGAAATTATTGTGTCCAGTAAAATAGTAAGTCTATCTATTAAATACCCCTTGCTTCTTTTATACGTTTTCTTTTATGTGTTTGTAGTGTGTATGCATGTGTGTATGTGTTGGATATGGATGCATATTTATGTGCAGGTCGGCTGTGTGTGTACCCAAGATTGATATCACGTGTCTTCTTGGTCACCCTTCATCTTACTTATTGAGACAGGGATCTTGTTTGAATCCAGAGCTCACCTGTACACTAGTTGAAATAAGCAGATTGGTCCAGCGATGCTGTTTCTGCCCCCTGCCCTCTGGAATTCTAGGCAGACTGCCATGCCCACCCAACACACATTGAAGTCTAGGGCTCCAGGCTCTGATCCTCATGTTTACATGAGAAGCACTTACACCACCAAACCACCTCTCCAGTTCTACATGTTCTTAAGTACTTGTATTTTCAGAAAGTAAGTTGACATCTAAGAACTGATGTTACACGATGGTAAAAAGTTGCCTACAGTCACTGTGTGAAGTGTCGTCGTGAGATGACGTGCTCGGGAGAAACTAGATGGCAGCTGCTGGAAACCAGAGCTCTTGTCTTTCGTTCCAGGAGATGTGTGGTGACCTCTAGGTGTAAAGTATAAACTCTGTAGGCCTCTCTGACTTCGTAGACTTTCTTCTTAGGTCTGTTTGTAGCCTTGGCTATTCAAGTCACCTGCATGGCTGTCTTCTTTCTTGTTTCTGAAGACTTTTGTAATTGTTCTTGTTTTGAGTTTAGAAGGTAAAGATATCTGTGTACTATATCACATTCACATGTTACATTTTATACTTACTTAATTCCATAGTTATTTTCTTATTCTTTTTCATTATGTGTGTGGGTGTTTTGTTGGTAAATGCTTGCACCATGTACATGCAATGCCCACGGAGGCCAGAAGAGGCGTTGTATCCCTGGAAATGTGTTACCGATAGGTAGGTGTGAGCCTCCATGTAGTTTCTGGGAATCAAAGCCAGGGCCTCTCGAGCAGCCAATGTTGAGCCATCTCTTCCAGTCCTGTATTCCAGACTGGAGACTGTATTGGTTTCATGTACAGAAAAGACATATAATTTCTTTCTTGAAAAAACTGTGTGGTGATAAAGATTATTTGATTTTACCCCAGGATCATACCACATGAGAAATGGTATGCACAATGTGTGTGTGTGTGTGTATGTGTGTTAAGTTTGGCAGATCTGAAACGGAAGCAGTTCCCTGTCCCATGTAATTCTAATAACTGCCACACTGTAGCCCTGGACGACACCCACTTAAAACACTGCCTTAACAGTGACATAAAGACATTAAAAGAAAGCCATGGTACCAGATGAGGCAAGGTAGAGTTGACATGGTTATATAGTGTCTTTTTTTTTTAACTTGTCTAGTAGAGCTCCTTATTACCTTTAGAAAACGTTTTATTAGAATAGTATTTCTGTTAGTTAATCAATAGCCTGTATCTGGACGTTGCACATGACCTGGGAGTCTTGGCAAAATCATGTTTGACCCCATGTAGCTTCTTTTTGAAGAGCTAAAGTCTAATGATAGGCTAATAGAAACTTCATTTTAAAAATCCTACTGGTCACCGGGCAGTGGTGGCGCATGCCTTTAATCCCAGCACTCGGGAGGCAGAGGCATGTGGATCTCCGTGAGTTCGAGGCCAGCCTGGTCTACAAGAGCTAGTTCCAGGACAGGCATCAAAAACTCCAGAGAAACCCTGGCTCAAAAAAAAAAAAAAATCTTACTGGTGCTGGAGAGTTAGGTTAAGAGCACTGACGGCTCTTCCTGAGGATCTGGATTCAGTCCTCGGCACCCACGTGGCAGCTCACAACTCTCTGTAACTCCGGTTACAGGAGATGGAAACCCTTGGCAAAACACTAATACACATAAAATAAAATTTTAAAAAAATCTTACTGTGTCTGTTGTTTCTAAAGAATATTGGAATACAGATATGTCTTAATAGAATGTTAACACTTACTTGGTCTGTATTTGAGATTAAGTTTGAGAGATGCAGACCTGCAGTTTAAGAAGATAGCTCACAAAGAATTTTGAGGCCATGTTATTAAATTTGGCAATACAAATACTTTTGAAACATAAGATTAAGGGCTGGAGAGAGAACTCAGCTGTTAAGAACACTTGCTACCCTTCCAGAGGACCAAAGTTTGGTCCCAGTACCCACACCTGGTGGCTCACAACTGCCTGTAACTCCAGCTCCAAGGGAGCCAACATCCTCTTCTTGCCTCCCCGGGCACCCACACAGAACTATGGACCAGTTCTCCACTTATAGCCTTACCTCTTGGGAGGAACAGCTGCGTTTTGCCCTCTTTTCCCCTTTGCCCCAATACTATGCTTTTTAAAGCCCTGCTAAGATTAAAGTTATGGAAGATACTTTAGTGATTTAAGACAAAAAAAGATGTGATTTTTAAGTAAGAAAAACAATGGACTGAGAAGGCAGTGATTGCATCCTTCAGCTCCTCCAATGCTGCAATCCACTGCCCAGTGCAAGCTCCTCACCCTCCCCGGCCCTCGATTTCCGTATCTCTAGAAGTGAAAGATGTGTACTACACAGAAGTTGCCTTCTGGTTCTGATGTTTTTGAGATTTATATAAAAAATAGAGTCCTTTTACAGCCAGATCTTGAGCCTACACTGTTTGAAGTAATATCAGCCAGATAGTGATTTTTGCGTACTTGTTGTTTTTCAGAAACTCTGTGAAGGCATATTTAAAGTCCTTGTAAAGGACATCCCAACAACCTGTCAAGTGTCCTGCCTGGAAGTGCTCCGCATTCTCTCCAGAGACAAAAAGATTTTAGTTCCTGTAACAACTAAGGAAAATATGCAAATACTGCTGAGACTAGCCAAGCTGCACGAGTCAGATGATTCTTTGGAGAAGGTGTCAGAGTTCCCGGTTATTGTGGAATCGTTAAAGTGTCTGTGTAACATCGTGTTCAACAGTCAGATGGCCCAACAGCTCAGCCTGGAACTGAATCTCGCTGCAAAGCTCTGTAACCTCCTGAGAAAGTGCAAGGACCGAAAATTTATCAATGACATAAAGTGCTTTGACTTGCGTTTGCTCTTCCTCTTGTCACTTTTGCACACTGACATCAGGTCACAATTGCGCTATGAGCTCCAGGGACTCCCGCTGCTAACCCAGATCTTGGAAAGTGCCTTTAGCATCAAGTGGACCGATGAGTACGAGTCGGCCATAGACCATAATGGACCTCCTCTTCCACCTCAGGAGACAGACTGTGCCATCGAGGCCCTCAAAGCTCTCTTCAATGTGACAGTAGACAGTTGGAAGGTGCATAAAGAGGTAAGGTTGGGAGGAGTGCACACATCCACTGGAATCAAGGATATGGGTAGCTGCACACAAAAGAATGCTAAGTTGGGAAATGAAAAAGTGTTCCTTCACTAGTTGGTTCTCCAAACTGCAGGGTATTTCTTAAGTTGTAATCTTTCAAGGGCTGGAGAGATAGCTCAGCAGTTAAGAGTACTGGCTGCTTTTCCAGAGGACCTGGATTCTGTTCCCAGCACCCATTTGGTGACTCACAACCATCTCAACTCTAGTTCCAGGGAATCTGATGCTCTCTTCTGGCCTTCGTGGGTAATAGGCCCACATGTGGTACAGATACACATGCAAGCAAAACACCTATATGCATAAATAAAATAAAAATAATGGGGTAAAGAAAGAATAGAGTCTTCCGAGTTCTATAATCTTATCTTTTTTGAGTGACAGCCTGGGGAGAAGCAGCAGGCTAATGATAGGTGTTTGTATTGACTTCCATCTTGGAAGTTAAGGTAAACCCTGTCAACTGAGCTTCGCCAACCACAGCTGATGTCTGTTGGGAAGAGTAAAACCATTGAGTGCACCTGTCACTGCAGTCCACAAGGTGTTACGTTGTAGTTCACCTGTCACTACAGTCCACAAGGTGTTACGTTGTAGTTCACCTGTCACTGCGGTCCACAAGGTGTTACGTTGTAGTTCACCTGTCACTACGGTCCACAAGGTGTTACGTTGTAGTGCACCTGTCACTGCGGTCCACAAGGTGTTACATTGTAGTTCACCTGTCACTACAGTCCACAAGGTGTTACGTTGTAGTGCACCTGTCACTGCGGTCCACAAGGTGTTACATTGTAGTTCACCTGCCACTACGGTCCACAAGGTGTTACGTTGTAGTGCACCTGTCACTGCGGTCCACAAGGTGTTACGTTGTAGTGCACCTGTCACTGCGGTCCACAAGGTGTTACGTTGTAGTGCACCTGTCACTGCGGTCCACAAGGTGTTACGTTGTAGTTCACCTGTCACTACGGTCCACAAGGTGTTACGTTGTAGTTCACCTGTCACTGCGGTCCACAAGGTGTTACGTTGTAGTTCACCTGTCACTGCGGTCCACAAGGTGTTATGTTGTAGTTCACCTGTCACTGCGGTCCACAAGGTGTTACGTTGTAGTGCACCTGTCACTGCGGTCCACAAGGTGTTACGTTGTAGTGCACCTGTCACTGCGGTCCACAAGGTGTTACATTGTAGTTCACCTGTCACTGCAGTCCACAAGGTGTTACGTTGTAGTTCACCTGTCACTGCGGTCCACAAGGTGTTACGTTGTAGTTCACCTGTCACTACAGTCCACAAGGTGTTACGTTGTAGTTCACCTGTCACTGCAGTCCACAAGGTGTTACGTTGTAGTTCACCTGTCCCTGCAGTCCACAAGGTGTTATGTTGCAGTGCTGTGAAGCCTTCAGGGGCCTAGACTCACAAGATATTTAGTTTACATACGGCCTTAGGAAACAGGCCAATTATGCCAAAAAGGGGGAAATGATTTAAGCCACTCTACTTATTTCTAGACTAAGATCTTCCTCTGTGGCCTGAGCCTTCCAGTAACCCCAAGTGAGGTGGATTGGATAGTTTGTATTTGAGTTCCTGCAAGAACGGTGTGCTGAACTTGAAATGTAGTCTGAGAAGCCCACAGTTCTAAGTGAGGAGCACACTATTGTTCATCAGGAACTCAGCATCTCACGTTCTCTTCTTCTTGAACTTTAAAAACCAGTACAGTTCAGCTCCCGCCTTTGAGGCTAGCATTAGCCATGTCTGAAGTAATTCTCACCCGTGTTTTTGCCAGCAGCCTACTGGAGAAGGATTATCTCAGCGTAGCTATAGTGGGGGCACACAGGCATCTGAGTTGTACAGCGCAAATATTTGAAGATGAGTGCTAACAGCTGTTTGAGATGACTGCAGTATACTCAGCCTTGCTGAGACTTGGCAGGAAAAGATGTGGGAAGCCCACATGCTCCATGTATGCTTTCAAACCAAATATTTGGAAGTATTTAAAATGTTATGTCTCTGCTTATATGGTACCTTCTGTGGTTATTTTTCTTACACTGTTTGTGTTGGTATTTTTAAGATTTCCAATTGGTTGTAAAAGTGCCTCTGAGACTGTTCGTTTGCCATTGTTACACTGCACTGTTTGGATCCTGACAAGGTGGCTTCTACCTCAGTGGCTGCTCCACAGTGTGTGGGGGGCCCCATGGTGAGAATCAGTACTTGAGACAGCGTCTGGTAGTCTTTCAGCTAAGTGACTGTGGCATTGGAGAGCTCTGGAAACGGTGAAGTGGTAAAGCCTCGTTCTGTGTTCCAGGAAACTCATTCTTCGAGACGCAGGCTCTCCCCACAAAGGGTCAGTGGTCCTAGAATAGGTTTACCTGTGTGAGCCATGGGGCAGTTATGCAGCATTTATGAAGTATGTGTCGTGAACTGAGCCAGCACTGGTCTTCAGATATATAAACAGTACTGAAAATAGGATCTTTGACAACCTGTTTATAAAGAGTGTCTTCATGTGCTGTTTATAAACATCTGCTAGACATTGTCCCAGCATTGGAGAACACACTGGCAAATACTAAGCAGCTTTGCCTTCGTGAAACTTTAGTTTTGTAGGTGGAAACGGACAATAAGTCAACAGAGTTGGGTGCCAGGATGGAGATACTTCTGAATTAGCCACATGCAGAATGCAGGATGCAGGGACAGAAGTTTCCTAGAATTAAATACCACTTGCAGGACGCAGAGAGCAGAGCACAGGGTGCCTTTTTCTGGGACACTCACAGCTCAGATACAGCACAGAGAGGCTGGGTGGGAAGGCCCATTCCTTGGAGTCCATGTCTTGTTTTTGTCAGACCAAGGACATTTACTTCAGTTGAGTGAGCCAATGGAATGGTTAATGCTTTAAGTACCAACCAAAATAAAGCTATATGAAAAAGCAACTGAAGAATCCACTTTAAAATAAATAATATTTTTCTTCTTAGGAAAGTAATGTAGATTCATAGGCTACACAAGAACCAGCCACGTAAAGGACCAGAAGATGTGAACTCCCTGTAGACCCCCGAGAAGGCGAGCTCTGTTCACTCTCCACTACTCTTCCTGCATAATGTGAGCAGAGGGGATCTTCCCCAGAGTGCAGTCACTCTGACCTCATCTCCTCCATGCTGTCCTTGAAGAACAGTGCTTTTCAGGGCTGAGGGCAGGCTCAAGTCACCTCCTAGCTTAGCTCCAGATTTGAGCCTCCAACTTGCCAAGATAAATCGTTTTTAAGAATAAGGCTCTCAAAATGCATTCCCTCTGGCAGAAAGGTCCCTAGGAGTGGGCTGTGGGGTGAGTCTCCCAGGCTCTTCATCTCTACCCTAAAAAGAGAAATTTTAAAAAGAAAGATGGAACCTTTGAAAAATTATAAACCTTTGGAAAAAATAGCTATTGCTATTCTCTTTAAACTTTTAACTAAGATTTTGTTTGGAGACTAAAAGGTTCTGCATCCAAGACAAATTTGATGGCTGCTCTCTCACCCAGAAATACTAAAGATGATGAATCTTATGGAAGAATACTTGTACATTGAAAAACACTTTGTGAGGGTAAATAAAACCACTGAGTATACATATAAAAATAGAAGTATTTATATTTATCAGCTTTTTACAGCCTTTCTCATTTAAGCATGAGTATAATTAATTTTCTTGTGAAGTCTACATTCCTGAAATTGATGGAAAAAGGATTTCAAAAGTTTGTTGTTTTTTTTTTAAATACATACTGCCTGAGTGTATCTATCTACACTGTTTTAATCCCTAGGCATCTGACTAAAAATATTTATGCCCATGTTACACTAAGGAAAATAGAGCTATTTTCCTGTGGTTCTAGCTGTTTCCGCAGGTATTTTTATTTCATTTGTGTTTCACCAAAAGCAGAAAGTTAATGACTGGATTTTTCTTGAGGTTTCACAGATTCGTTTCACTTCTTTCTGCCTCAGCATTAAAGTTCCTGCCTCCTGCAAATGCATTATAATGGCTTAATCTGAAGGTCCCCTTCCTTAAGGTGTCATCTTCACCTGTGAATTCACCTTTCTTCTCTCCCCTCCCCCCCTACTCTTTCCTGTCTCCCTCTCCCCTTTCTTAAGAATAGTATATTTGAACGAGTGAGATGATATAAGCTTAGTTCCAGAAAGGGTGGTTTTAAAATAATCTTGTCTTTCCTATTTTATTTCCCCCAACATCTCTGTTGATGGAGCAATCTGTTTTCCAGAGATCCCTGACTTAGTTCCCATTCCCTTCCCCATGTGTCCAAGTATCATGCAGTAAGAGGAGCACAGGGTTAGCAGGCAGATTGGAGACAGACGGAAGCCCAGAAGATACAGTGTGTGTAACAGGCAGCCCAAGGAACATTAGCCAAGAGTTGCCATAGGAGCACAGGAGGTGATGTGCGACAGCCTTCTGTATATGTGTTGCTCTTATTAGTTAATGAATAAAGCTGCTTTTGCCTGTGGCAGGGCAGAATATAGCCAGGCTGGAAGAGATATAGAGAGAGTAGGTGGAGTCAGGGAGCTGCTGAAGGAGACAGACACCAGAGAAACTTACCTACCCCTTACCTGGTGGTGATACACAGATTAATAGAAATGGGCTAATTTCAGATAGAAGATTTGGTTAGAAATACCCTTCAGCTATTGTCCAAGCAGTGTTGTAATTAATATATTTTCTGTATGATTATTCGGCTCTGGGCGGACCAGGAGCAACTGAGCAGTCTCTACTGCAGGATGGTTCTAGAGACTTTGAAGGAAATGTAGAAAAGGGTAGAATATAAAAAAAAAGGCTCAGGCTATTCAGTGTTTAATTGTTGAATCATTTCAACAGTTACTTTGATGAATGGTTTTGCGGATAAAGTGGAGTCTTGCCCAGTTTGTGAGAGGAGAGTGGCTGTAATAGCAGACCCTACGTAAAGAGTAACAGCTGTGTGAAGAACTTTCAGAGACGCTTTGCCTCTTCAGCCTGCCCGTCTTACCTCTT